CTAACCTACCTACCTACCTACTGTTGTTGTGTCAATAGTAGTATTATTTATTTATTTATTTGTTTGTAGTATATATATTATATTATATATATATATATATATATATATATATATATATATATATATATGTCAAAGTACATTTATGTTGTTCATGCCTCTGATTTAACCACGGGAACTTGATCATTTGTCTTGTAGAACATCCTGCATTCTGGATTTGTTTGGCTGCTTCCCGTGGTGCCTCTCAATGTGTTTCCTTATTTTTTCTTTTATTTTTGATATTTCCTACAAATTAATAGATCTACATTTATGCTTAATTTTTTTTCATTTTATGCGTGGTGCTGAGTTCTGCTTGTTCCACCCCATTAAGATCCTCCCCCCATAATGAGTGATTGTCCCACATTTAGTGCCATTCAGGTTGATTAGTGGATTTGGGTGGTGTCATCCAGACCCTTCATTATAGAGTTTTCTACTGACCCTTTCACCTGATGATTCCAGTGGCCATTTCATGCTGCCTCCATCCATGATCTCATTTGAGGGGGCAAAGTGGTGGTTTTCAGATTCTGTTATTCCTTCTGCATTGATTGATGATGATCTGGCTTTCATCTATCCTGACAGAAGGACTGTCACTCATCAACCTTGAAGTACGATTTGGACAGGACATACAGGATAGAGCATTGATTCTTTCCCTTTTAAAACTCAATTTCCAAAGAATATGAAAATGAATATATGCATGTATATGCATGACTGAGACATTATGCTGTACACCAGAAATTGACACATTGTAACTGACTGTACTTCAATTAGAAAAAAAAACCCTCAATTTCCAGAGTAAGGGTTTGGTACCTTAGCCATCACTAAGAAGGACCAATGAAGTTGTTTTTTCTTTAAGTAGTATTATGATCTCATGGGTGTTTATCTCTCTGATATGTTTCAATCCATTGCAGTCACTATGCTATATTTTTTACTTTTTCTTTTGAAATGATTACAGGCTCATAGCAAGTTGCAAAAATAGCAGAGTCCTGTGTACCCTTCACCCAGAGTTCCCTCACCTTGCCTGCCCCAATGGCAGCATCTTATGTATCCATCATGCAATCTCAAATAAGGAGAAACTGACAATGTGACGGTACTGTTAACTAGACCACAGACTTTACTCAGATTTCACTAATTCTTACGCCTTCCTCCTCCTCCTCCTCCTCCTCCTCCTTCTGTGTGTGTGTGTGTATTCAAACCGTCCCATTTTAGGTTAGTGGGCCGGGCTTGTGCTTTTACCCATAAAAGCGTTACTGCCTCATAAATCCCTGATACACTCTTTCCTAAGGGACAATAGGTTAGCTCTGCTATTGGGGAAACACAGATTCTCATCTTGAGTGGTCCCAAGATGTGGCCTCAGAGAATTCACACACATTCTTATGGCCACACAGACGTAAGTCCTCATGCGCCAATGTGCAGGTGCACACACACTTACACCCCAAAACACAAACCCAGAAGGGCCTGTCGGTTAAGAATTCTGCATTCCGATAAAACTGATGCAGACCCCACTTACTAGCTGTGTAACCTTGGGGTGGGGGCTGGGGCATACTTAATCTCATGCACCTCAGTTTTCTCATCTATAAAATGGGAACAATAGCCTTGTGGTGAGGACTGGGTTTCTACCTTTTAGAACCACACCTGGCATCCTATAAGTACTCAGCGAGTGTTGGCACAGATCAGGCCCCTCCCCCACTGCCCCTTTGATCCTTCCCTCCTCCCAGCCTCATCTCCTTGGATGGAGGAATTTCCCATCAACCCCTGTCAGGCTCTGCTTTCGGAGTCAGGCTCTGATCTTCCTCCCTCCCTCCCTCCTTAGGATGGATAATAAAGAGCTGCGGCATATAATCAAGGTCTCCGTGGTCTTATGGGCATTTGCCTTCTCTAGCTGGATCAGCGACCGCTTGCTTTGCAGTTTCTGGCAATGGATTAATTTCTTCTACTTGCACAGCATCTGGTAAGCACCTGTCCTGTGGTCTGGGGCCCTGGGAGCAGAAAATCTCAGATGCCAGAGCTCAGAGCAGGAGCCTGGGGGCAGGGTGGGGAGGCACAGATATGGGGACTTGTGTGTGTGTGTCAGGCAGATGGCAGGGGGTTGGGGGGCAGTGGCTGCAGTTGGGAGGTCAGGTCTGGAAGGTCCCTTTGGAAGGTCCATGAGAGGTAAGGAGATGACCGAGGTGGGGCTGGGGGCATCAGGCTGGCTGCAGGGGCATCTTGTGCCCTCACCACCCTCTCCCACAGGCATGTGCTTATCAGCCTCACCTTCCCCTACGGCATGGTCATCATGGCCTTGGTGGATGCCAGATACGAGATGCCAGACCAAACTCTCAAAGTCCGTTACTGGCCTCGGGACACTTGGCCCATGGGGCTGCCCTACGTGGAGGTCAGTGGTGACCACAAGAGCTGCTGAGGTCCGCCGGCTGCTTCCTACCCGACCACCTGCGAACCCACCTGTGTCTTGAAGGAGAGTGGCCTGAATCAGGAGACTGAGAGACACTCGAAGTTCCTGTCTCCAGCTCCCTTTCCCCATCCTCTTTGTCCTGCGCGGTCCCACCCCAAGGCAGGGGATGGACTTCATGACCTCTGTGTGCGGTTGCCTGATGACCCGGGGAGCTGCCTGGCAGAGGCTCCCCCCTCCATCGCCTGCCCCTGTTCTCTTTCCTTTTCTCCTCTGTGTCCGCCGCTTCCCTGTTGTCACGTGACCTGATTTGGCTGGACCACTGGGTGCTGTGATTACGTGGCATTTGCTGGGAATGACCTCAGGCTGGGTTTGGTTCCCCAGGGCACCTTATGAACAGTGGAGGTCACTACCAGACTCTTTGGACCTGTCTTTGGCCATGTGATGTCCCTGGTACTTGGGGGACATCTCAGAGAATGGACACGTTATCCATCACCTCATTCTACGCTCACATGTGTGTGCAGAGACCTCGAAGATCCTCACATGTGCTCACACGCAGCCCGTGGACTTGTGGGCCTGTCTCACTGGTCGACAGCGGAGCAGTGTGGAGGCCTGGACTGGGTGATTTGGGTGCTGTCCAAGCATGGACATCAGGAGGAGGGCTGGAGTGGCTGGTACAGGCTCTCAAAGTGAGGGAAGAAGGTAAGAATGGTTTCCACGGAGGTTAAGAGCACGGGGCTTGGAGTTTGAACCCTGCTCCACAACTTCTTACTTGTATAATCTGTGGGGAGTGATTATTCCTGCCCTTGAAGTTCAATGACCTTGTCCGTAAGATGGAAACATTCCTTCCCTCATGGGATTTCAGAGTATGTAAGAAAAGATAATGTATATAAAGTGCTTAGTATGGAGTCTGGCAAACATTCACCCATCTACTTGTCCTTTTATTCATCCATCCATCCATTCATCCATCCATCCATCTTTTTAACTCTCTATTGAACCATCTGTCTATTCTTTAGGTTACCCATCTGTTAATTTATTCATTCATTCCTTCATCTTGTTTTCTATTATCTATCTTTTTAACTCTCCCTGTTCATTCATTAATGTATTATCCATTCCTTGAACTATTCATTGAACTATCCATGTATCCATCTGCCCCTCCACTTGTGCATCCATCTGTCCATATATTTATTATTCATCCTTTCATCATCTATTATCCTTCCATCCATTTATCCAACTGTAACTCATCCACTTTTCCATCCATCCATCTATCCACCCATCCATCCATCATCTGTATTTAGCCATCATTTATATTCATTTATCCTCTGTCTATCCAGTTATCCAATTATTTATCCATCCCTCATCCATCCATCCATCCATCCATATTTAGCCATCTATTTATTCATTTATCCATTCAAATCATTCAACCATCCTCCCATTCATCTGTTTCCCTACCCATTCATTCATTCAGTCACTCATTTATCTCTTCAACAAATATATATTGAGTTCCTACTGTATGTTTGACACTAACCCTTGAGGATATAAGACAATAAAGACATGCAAAGTCCCTGCCCTAATGAGGGGACACACGCTAAATAAATAAAAAGACACACAACCAAGGCAATTCCAGTCACTGATGGGTGCTGCAAAAAAGGTGAAGCATGGTGATATTCTCAAGACCATGAGTGAAAGGAGCAGCCCTTTCAAGTGGGTGCCCTGTGGGGAGCCCACTAGCTGAGCCCTCAATGCCAAGAGGAGACCAGCCCCACCAAGAGCTGGGCAGGACCATTCCAGGCAGAGGGAATGGTGGGTGTGAGACTCCCGGGGAGGGAATGAACTGGAGCAACAGAAAGAAGGCTGTTGTTGGAGCTGAGTAAAGGAGGGAGAGTTCCGGGTAGTTGGTTCTTAACCTGGGGCCTGGGATGGATTTCAGTATCCATGGACCACTTGACATTCTCTGCAGAAGAGGAGTGTCTGGGCATGTTACCTAGGCCTCTGGATTGCATCATTCCAGGAGTAGAAGAAAGCACACCTGGCCTGCTGGAGAGATGGGGACATTGAAAGGGGAGGGGCCGCTCATCTTTACATGCCCATGAAAAGCATCATTGAACCGAATACCCCTCCCACACCCCCTCCAGATAGACGAGAATAGTCTCATTTTATACCTGTGGCTCAGAGAGAGCAAGCCACTTGCCGAAGACCATGCAGCCTGGACTTGAACCAGATCTGTCCTTCCCCAAATTTCCTTGCACCACTGTAAGTCAGCAGAAAGACTGTACTTGGATTTCAGGTCCCCTGGTTCTGGGTCCTTCTGAATTTCTTGTTCTAGAAACCAGGTTGTTTTTTTTTTTTTCACATACACG